TTATTTTACATTGCCCCCCCCCCACACCTATTTCCCCTTTTTTTCTTCCAGGAGGCTACGTGTCCCTAGCCCCAGTGGTGACAGTAGAGCTGATGGGCGTGGCCAGGGTGGGCCAGGCCTACGGAATCCTGCTCATCTTCATTGGTCTAGCCGGAGGACTGGGCCCGCCCCTTGCAGGTGAGCCAATGATGAGTGGTGTGTGTGCCTAAGTGTGAGGTATACGCCCCTTTTTAGTACAAAAACAGAAAATGTGTGTTAAAGGCAGGGCTTCTTATTTGTGAGGTATTGGGGGTGAAATCAGGCTCTCGTCAAAATAATACATTCAAAGAAAAAGGCATTCTTACTCCATTTTGGCAATTTTCATCGATTTTTGGTTGATTGAATCTACACCTAAAATGTCCCTCCAAAAATACATTTCTGAGAAGGTTTTTTACGGAAAACTGTCGATCAAAGGCACAAAAAAAGTTAGTTTACACTTTTCAAAGACTCTTTGGCTATGAAAGTCACCAACTTTAGCCGCCATTTTCTCGCTATTTTTACCTCAGAGTATCAGGGGATCTCCACCTCCTTTAATCGCAAATATCTCAGCTTCTATTCAAGATAAATGGGTATTCTTGTCATCAAAAGCAAGGCAAGGCAAATGAACAAGCTTTACGGTGATACTAATAACACCACATCCCCCAAAAATTGACGAGCGCCTGATTTGACTGGGCCGTAACTCGTTTATATAATAATAATTGCATTTATATAGCGCATATCCACGTTCCAGAGCATGCTCTATGCGCTTTACAACCATTATTACCCCAGCAGATCCTATGAGAACACTCAGAAACATTCTCGGCTTCCGCGGAAGCATACAGTGCAAGCTGCGGATTTCACGCGCTCAAACACTACCAAACTGACAAGATCGTTCACTGTCTATAGCCGGGTACCCATTTCCACCTGGGTGAAGTGAGGAAAATTGGTACAAAGTGCCTTTCCCAAGGACACAACGTCGGGCCCCTGACGGGATTCGAACCCACGACCATACGTTGCGAGTCCGAGAGCCTAGCCACTAGGCCACCGACGCCACATTCATGTATATTCATGTTTTAAAAATATTTTGTGAGTAAGTTTTGCGACATTCGCAGCACAATCCAGTCTTATAAATGCCGAAGATTAGAGGTTTTACTAGAGAGTAACATTCAAAGAAAAGAATTCAGGAGGAGAGATATGAACGATAGATGTTTGCTGGGAAAGAAGGGGCAAACCGCACCAAAGCACCCACCAACCGCCCACTTATATTCATCGGCCTATACTTAAGAACGAGACACTCCCTTACAGTTGCAGCTACCCGCGAAGAGTGTCAATGGAGTTGTGAAGAGCTCGGCGCCCTTTTCTATCCAGAAATGTTATTCCCATAGGCAAAGTAAATAATAGGCCTATATATAATACATGCATTCTATATTTTTCTTTAGCCTCAGTTGAGGACTCTTGTGTGCCTCTTGTAGAATATCCATGTCCAGCAACTGTGTCGAAGGAACGCTGTTGATCTGTCATAACGCCCTAGTAATAAGGTCACTTTGTTATTGCAGTTTTAAAATGCACTTCAACTGTTATTTTATTATAGCTATGCTATACCGTATCTATTCATAAAGAAGTTTATTAAGAAAGAAAGTTTGTTTTTGTTCTCCTAAAACACCTTGCCTTTTCTCCTCTATCTCCCTACCCACCATCTCACCCCCTCCCCTCTCCCTGCTCCTCTCCCTCA